GACCTGGCTAGCCTTGAACTCACAGAGATACACCTACCTCTGTCTTCCAAGTGCTGAGATTAAAGGGATGTGCCTTACGCCTGGCTCCTGGACTTTATTAAACGAAATGGAGCTGAAGGCAGTGCCAACATTCATGCCGGCTTCACATTCCTCTTTTCAGACACAGTGTGAGCAGCTGCCACACATTCCCCACCCTGGTGGAAAGTACCCTCAAACTAGGAGCCAAATAATCCTTCCTTCTTATCTTCCTTCTTTCTTCACTTCTTCCTGTCTTCCCTCCCTCCCTCCCTCCCTCATTTTCTTCCCTCTCTAAGTCACTTTTGTCATATTTTGTCACAGCCATGAGTTAAGGGATCTGGCTCTCCTACCCTTTTCTGTGACTCCAGCAGATTTGCTGGTATGCTTTGTGGCATGTTTTCTTCTTTGTTTTTCTCCTTTAAAAAGCCAGCAATCCGGGGTTAGTGAGGTGACTCAGAATAAGGGTGCTTGCAGCCAAACTTCACAATCTGAGTTCAAGTCCCAGGACCCACATGATAAAAAGAAAAAACTGGCACATCCACGCACGCACACACACACACACACACACACACACACACACACACACAGAGTAATAAATAAATGTTTTTTAATAATGTTTTTGATTTTGTTTGTTTTGAGAGAGAGTTTTACTATATAGCCCTGCCTGACCTGGACCTCACTGTACACCAGGCTGGCCTCAAACTGATAGAGAGCCACCTGCCAAATTCTAGAGTTAAAAGTGTATATCTCACTCCTATATTAAATATTTTTAATCTGGTATTTAGGTGCGATTATTAATTCAATCATTGTTTTAAGACAGGGTCCCTCTATATGAAGATTAGGCTGGCCTTGAACTCACAGAGATTTGCTTACCTTGTTCTCTTGAGTGCTAGGATTAAAGGAATATGTTACTCTGTCCAGCTCAACCAATTTTTTAATGTATTATTTATTTTTATTTTTGACACAGGGTCTTACTATGTAGCCCTGGTTGGAACTCACTATGTAAATCAGCCTGGCCTCAAACTCACATTAATTCTACTGCCTGTGACTCCTGAGTGCTAGTATTACAACCAAGCACTGTGACCCTGCTTCTTCATTCCTTCTTGTATGTGAGCATAGGCTTGGAAGGCTATGACCTCCCCTTCACAAACTGCATTGGCTGCCTCTCATGTGTTCTAATGTGCAGCATGAGGCACGCTGTCACCTGAGAGCCTCCTCTCTGTGTTCCTGTGACACACTAGGTGCCAGCTCCTACTACTCTCACCACACTGTGACGGTTTGTAGTGTATAATATATTAGTAAATTGCCATGTGTTGTTGGAGCTCATTGAAAAGTTCCCGCATTTCAGACTCATGTCTGTCTCAGTGTCATCCTCCAAGATCTGAGGATGACTGCCCTCCACCAACTCTGTGACAGGGAGGGACACAAACACCAAAGAACCCAAGGTAAAGATTCTGTGCCCTTGAGAACAACTGGAAGGTGGGCATTCCCAACAGAGGTTACTGATCCTTATCCTACAATACAAAATCCCTGCAGTTGGAAGGAGAGGCCAGAAGTTCAGCCATGGAGAGAAAGCTCCATCAGGAACTCCAGCTGATGCCTCAACTCCAGTCGATTTCTTCTGGGTGATTTCTTCTGGGTGATGTTAAGAGTTCAATCTGATGACTGTGGTGATTTAAATAGGTATGGCCCCACAGAATCGTGTTAGGGAATGGCACTGTGAGGAGGTGTGGCCTTGTGGGAGGAAGTGTGCTACTGTGGGGGTGGACTTTGAGGTCTCCTATGCTCGAGCTATGGGCATAAGCTCAAGTATGGCGCACAGTCTCCTCCTGCTGCCTGTGAATCAAGCACTGAGTCTGCCTGCGTGCTGGCATGCTTACCACCATGATGATAATGGACAGGACATCTGAAACTGTAAGCCAGCCTGAACTAAATGTTTGCCTTTATAAAAATTGCCATGGTCATGGTGTCTCTTCACAATGGAACTCTGAGACAATGGCCTCATCTCTATCTGTTGCTGTTTGTCCTTTTACTCGAAGTCCCTCCTGAGGGGACAGCACCTGTGCTGGGACTCTCCAGCAGGCTGTCTTAATGGGATGACCCCAGTCAGCAGTGCCTGACTTGATTTTTGCCTCCTATTCCTCTCCTCTCTTCTCCTCTCTTCTCCTCCTCCTCTTCCTTCTCTTCTTCCTCCTCCTCTTCCTCCTCCTTTCTCTCCCTCTCCCTCTCCCTTTCCCCTCCCTCTCCTCTCCCTCTCCCTCCCTCTCCCCTAAACCTCTTCCTCCCCCCCCCCCCCCCCCCCCCCCACCTCTCTCAAGAAACTCATTCCAAACAGAAACTATGGCTGCCATAGATCATTCCCCAAACACAATTGTCCACTGTAAACAAAAATTTAAATTGCACAGTCCTGTTAATGTTTCTAGTAATCTCATGGAAACTCACTAAAAGAAGCAGAAAATGGACTTTTACATTTTATTTCAGTGTGCCCAAAATACCACCATTTTCCTGCAGAACTCACGTGAAGCCGTTTCTGATGTGCTGTGACAAAGTCTAAGGCACCCAGCCTTTGAGGTCACATTCACTATGCATCAAAGTTTGCACTGGCCACAATTTTTAGTGGTCTATAGCTATATGCATATACTCAGGCTACTCTCTGTTTCCAGAATTTTCTGCCCATTGTGACTCTCAGACCCAGTCCATCTGTTGGCCAGCGCTATGCTGAGCCCATATCACAGCTGTGAGACCCCTGGGCTAAGAGCACTTGGTGATCTCTTGTGTGGATGACTCTGCCCGTTTATGTGTTAGTCAGCTCAGAACACCTCAGATGGGAGGCTCACACTACAGGCTCCATTACCTCATGTGCTGGAGGTCAGAAGTCCAAGGTTGAAGTGTCCCTGGCCTCAATTCTCCTGAGGTCTCTCCTTGGCTTGCAGACAGCATGTTGTCCCTGCCTCCTCACATGCTCTCCCTCTGGACAATCACAGGCTGTGTGCTAGCCTCTTTTTTCTCAGAAGACACCAGTCTCTCAGGGTTAGGGACCACGCCATGTGACCTCATTTACCTTCCTCATCTCATTCAAAATCCTGCCTCCACCTTTAGGTGCTGAGTGCACTAGGGATGAAGGTTCCAACATACAGATTCAGGGAAATACTATACAACCAGTCACACCCCCCCCCACACAGACCTGCTGCCATTTTCAGCCATTGGCTGCCCTCTGTGTGCCTGTGTCAAGGACAGCCAGTCATGAACAGGGGGGCATTCTCATGAAGCTCTACAACAAAGGCATATCTGTCTCATCTGGAAACTTCTGTTTGAGGTGGAGGGTCTGGGTTTGTTTGTTTTGAAACAAGGTTTCATACAGTCCAAGCTAGCCTGAACTCACTAAGCAGCTGAGGATGACCTTGAACTTCTGATCTTCCTGTTTTTCCCTCCCAAATGCTGGGATGGCAAGTATCCATCCATGATCCATCATCAGATCACTTTGAAGACCCCGGAGGAACCAAGGCGAGACAAGTAAGGTGCCAAAGTTTGACATGTCTACCATCCTACGGTTCAGATAAAGATAAAGCCAGTGTCCGGGGGCCACAGAGACACCAAAGTACCCAAACCAGTTCCCAAAAGGCTATAATGGAAAAGAGTGGCCCCGGCCAGTGGCAGAGTCCAGGAGGGGCATACACTGTTCGTCCTCCTCCAATCTCAGGCACATTGGGAGTGGACGCCTCATGCTCCTGCCAGTGGCTTCTCAGCCTTTGTAGACTGACCTGGAACTGTGAGCTGAGCCCGTAAGTTACTTTTGTCACAGTATTTATCACAGCGACAGTCGGGAGGCAAAGGCACTATGACGTTATTCTGGATTATGAGATGTAAAGCTTGGGGTTCCTTAGGGCCATTTTTCAACTCTATTGTACTAATCTCTAGACATGGAAGTTATGTAAAGTCCCTGAAGTGGCCGCAGCCTTCTGGCAGTCCTGAAGCCCTAAATCATGTACCAAAGAGGGCAAAGCAGAAGCAAGTCCATGCCAAGTCCCAGAACTTCCACACTCCAGCCTGGAATGCCCACAGACATCTTGCTACACGATTTGGTTCAAGGAAAGGAGGTCTACTGACCACGGTCACAGAACTGGGGAGTCACATAAGGTTGGCAGAACCCCATCTCCGCCTGTCTTCTCAACAGCGTTGGATTTCTCACGCACCGGAGATGCACATATTCACGTGCGTGTGAGCTGTGAACTCTCCCTGCATCCAGTGCCACCTGGGCTGCCCAGGTGAGTCTTCAAAACAAAACAGAGTTTTGAAAGCCACATCACCAACCCCATAGGTTCGTCGCATGACAACCAAGGTGGGAAACCCAGGCTCTGACAGGCAAAGAATGGTCTCAGAGTCAAAGAACTCGGCTTGAGCTGAGACCATCTTGAGACCCTTCCTTAATGTCTCCTTGGGGAAACTGAGGCAGCTGTCTGCATCCAGCAACCAGTTAGGACATCAGAGATCCATGACAGCGCTGGCCCTGGGAGCAATGGTCATGGCTGTCCTTGTGGCTGAACTGTACAACACCAGCCTCTTACAAAGAGTTAGAGATAGGGAAGACCCAGACATTTCCTAGGGCACACGCCGTCATGGGGGTCTAGAACCTGGTAAAAGTGGTTGCTTTGACAGCCTGTGTGGGCAAACACTCTCCTATGGGGATAGTCCTGTCGAGTCGGCGCAGGTGCTGGGACTCTCAGAACCTCTGTCTCTTCTACTGCTCTCTGGTTTGAGCACACTGGATAGGACATAAGGATCATGTACCTGCCTGGCTGGCGAAGACTAGGGAGGTTAACCCAACTAGAGGCTGGGGGAGGGGGGGCAGGGGAGGAATATGGTAAGGGAGAGTAACAGTGTCCTGCAGGAAGGTGTCTGTGGCACTCAATGACAGGTGAGTGTCCCACTACCCATGCCCACCCACAGAAGGATGATAGAGCTACAGCACGAAACGTCCAGGGTTGGGTCTCCACTGTGCTCCTTGGCTCACTCTTCCTTGGGTTTACCAGGCTGAGGCCGAGCCAGCCTGTAGTCCATATAGGTCCCCAGACAGGACCACAGGATGAAGCGTACTAGGAGGATGACAACCAGGAGCACCATGAGTGGGTCAGGGCCAGCAGTGTCCCCCAGCCAGGAGGCCATGCTGAGGAGGGAGGCCACCACACAGGGTAGAGCAGCAGCAGCAGCTTAGCTAGGACCTGATCTCAGCCCTGCCTGCCTGCCGGTGGCCCCTTCTGAGGGACAGATCCGTGCAGTCCACAGCCAGCCCTTCCCACCGCACTGGGCCTCCCCGCCTGTGAGGGGACAGTTGGGGCTATAGGCGGCCTCCTTGGTCAAGAGGCCCGTGTACCATTCATGGGGAGCTAAGCACTCCGTGCACCGACAATGGCAGCATTGTCCAGAGGCCCTGGCGGCGGGAGGCCTGCGGGAGCCCGCCTCCCGCGCTGTCCCCGCGGCCCCTGCCCGCCAGGCTGACGTAATCCCCAAACATCTCCGGCGGCGGCAGCTGCAGGGCGAAGCGGCCGCCTCCTCCGGGCCTTTCCGGCTGCCGCAGACAATCGAGCCCTTTCTCTCCCCAATTAGCTATCACTTCTGGAGGCCAGCGCGGTCCGAGGCTGGGCGGGCTGTGCAGCAGCAGCAGCAGGTCCGCACCGAGCGGGGGCCACGAGGCTTGCAGGGAGGCCCGGCCCAGCAGGGAGGGCGGCAGGGAGACTGTGCGATTGAAAAGAGGAGAGAGGCACAGAGAGGGGGGAACAGTCGGCTGGAGCCCAGAGGCGACCCCAGACACGGCTCAATTAGCACACAGGCTGTGCGCTGAGTCCCCAAGGCTGCCCCAGCCTGTAGCAGCCTGGGGGTGGTCAACACAGACCGCCCCAGAAAGGGTCTGGAACCTGGGGGAGTGGGCTTAATCTCCCCTTCACAACTCCGGGAGGGCAACCACTGGAAATAGGCTAAGCACCACCTACCCCAGCCCCACAGGAGGTTTCTGGGAAGGAACCACTACAGCCCCCCTCCAGCTGCCCCACACAAGGCTGATGGCTGATTAGCCTGGGACTCACTGAGTGGCAGTGGGGAAGATGCTTGCTTCCTTAGACCTCAGGCTCCTTGCTGGGAAATGAGGTCAGAGCCCCATGCTCTGAAAGACAAAGAGAATACTTAAATAGGCCCAGCACCCCTAGAGCAGCCTCTTTGGGGACTCACCTTCAGAGTTTTCCAGAAAAACAGCATCTGTCTGCCAGTTACATCCGTCTGCCGTATACATGTGCTCATACATACACGTGTGCCCACACACACATATGCGGACCCTGTCCCCCTGTGTGGGCCCCTCTGTCCCCTCACAGTTGAGGTTTCCTTGGACATTTTGCTGTCCTCCACCTCTAATACTAACCCTGTGTCCCATAAAACAGAACCTCATCTGAAGCTAGGGATACTGTGGGAGAAACAAGACTGCCCAATCACAGGGTCCTGGACTTCCAACCCAAGTAGTCTCACCCAGAAGCAGTCCAACAAGCCATGAAAGATGCATGGGGGCCCTTCCACACGGAGAACTCCTGTAGCCCATCACTGGTCACCTCTCACTAGTTCTGAATTCTTTCCTCCATGGCATTGAGAGTATTCACCCCGTATAGCCTTTCTAGAAGATTCCAAATAATGACAAACACAAAGGACTGGCAGGCAGCACACCATAGGATGGGAAGGAGAGATTTTTGACAATAGTGCCAATTTGTGGATTTCACAACACTAACCCAAAGTGTGCCAGATGCATGTAAGTTCGCTGTGCCCACCCTCTGCCTCTCACGCTGCAGCCCTGCAGCCCTGGGACTGACCGAGGTTGTCTCCCACTCTGCAGTGCCAGGCCACCCGGCCCATCGCTCTTGAAATGTTCTTGGGTTTACTTTTCCCAAATGTTAGTGAGTATCACTCCAAATGTTAGTGAGGATCTAGAAATTAGGAGCCAGGCCTAACCAGAAATTACACCAAACATTTGCTCCTAGGGGGTTTCTGGAATGTCCCCGACAGCAGAAGACCTTGCTCACATACCAAAGAAACCCAAGTAAATCTGGGGTGAGGGTCCCCAGATGGACATCACCATGCTCTTGGAAAGGGAAGAAGCAAAGGGCTCACCTCAGCCAGCATTTCACTCACCTGAGAGACCACATCTCTGAGTGAGGCTTTCTCGGAAGCTGAAGTTGTCTGCCTTGAGCATGGCCACCAACTCGGGCCCATCACTGGTGGAACCAAGGTGGCCTTGAACAAAGCTCTGTGTTTGTCAAGCACACCATCAGATAGGGAAAGTCAATATTGTCCCAGGTCACATGGCATCAAGACACAGGAGATTCTTGGGTCAAGGAGGCCTGACCCTCTTCCCGCTCATATGCCTCTGGAAATCAGCAAGCATAAAGTCTACCGTGTGTCCTTCAGGGAAGGAAGTGTGTGGCCCTCCTAGCTGCTCCTAGGAGAGGAGGTCAGTAAAGGTGACCTAGAGGATGAAGTCTGGGAGAACGGAGGAAGCACAGGAAGAAGCAAGAAAATGATGAAGACAGCACAGACACAGCTTCTCTGCTCAGTGTACACCAGGGTGCTCCCTACTGTGGCGAAAGGGACTCTCTGAGTCACCCACAACTGATGGTGAGCATGGCATGCTCTGTGCTCTTCCTGGTCCCTAGGGCCTCCCCAGCGGTATTGGGGTTATAGGAGGTGTCCCCTGGGCAGACTTTTACCCAACTTTGACCATACAGTGGATGACCCCTGGGTCCGCTGGACTAACTCAAGGGTACACAGCCACCAGAACATCCTCAAATTGGGAAAAAGAGGACCAAAGTCAATCCTCTTTCATGGCTTCCCCCATCCCCACCTTCCTGTTCCTGGATTTCTTACCATCCTCTGGGACCATCACATCCTGAACCACCTGCTATTGAACACAGCCCAAAGCAACATGAAAGACACAGACACACAAATAGTGTCTGCTATGATATTCAGAGCTCAGCCTTGAAGGCTCTTGTCCCTTGTCACAGAGGACAGATCAGGGGACTCTGGCTATCCTCAAGGATTGAAGGATCCACAGTGACTTCCTACACCTAACTGTTCAAGCATTGAAGTGACAAGGGACAGGTTTTTTCTCACTGTTCCCTGATGTTTGCCATGTGAAAGCACAGTCACCAGTGAGGCCAGTGGAGAAAGCTGGGGTGAAAAGCAGAGGAGGCTCCAGCTCCTGCCAACTGTGGCATGTCCCCACGGGAGCTTGTTCCTACCGGTGGCAGCATTAGGAATGAGACCAAGGACCCACTCGGGTGTCTGCTCAAAGCCCTCAGCAAGAAGATCTGTGGCCACAGGTCCCTTCCTCACTCACACAGGGCAAGCCACAATGACATCTGGCAGCCAACACTGCTGGTGCTGGGTGTGCTCTGCAGGGGACTTAAACATCACCACATCACACTGGACTTTCTGGGCTTGAACTCCTGACTGAGGGCATAGTCAAGGCCCACACCTGTTTCTGATTGGTTTATATTGGTTTTGGATGTGTCTGAGTGTGTGTGTGTGTGTGTCTGTAAGTGCGCACAAGTGTGTGCATGTGAAGGCCAGAAGTCAGAAGTCAACCTCAGGTGTCATTCCTCAGACCCCATCCACCAATTTATTTTATTTTTTATTTTTGAGATAGGATCTTTCGCTAAGTATGCTGGTGAGCTTGTGACCCACCTGTCTCCACATTCCCAGAGCTGGGATCATAAAAGTATGTCTCTACACTTGGCTTTTTTGCACAGGTTCTATGGATAAAACTTGGGTCCTCAAACTTGTGTGGCCAGCTCTTTACCAACCAACCAAACTGTCTCCCCAGCCCAGTGTTCACTGTTCCTTTCTATCCTGGCGCTTACAGCCTCCGAAGTCTCCCATGTCTGTATCATGAACTCTCATGTGTCCCCTGCTTCCACCTGGACTAGGGTCTCCAGGGCACTTAAAGGAAACTCACATTGCATTAGACCCAATTCTGCCAAAACTGTGTAGCCTCCAGCAGCCACTGGGCTAAGAGTAAGCCTTCCCAGCCAGTCTCAGCCACAATCGTTACTTGTATTTCTTCTTAACATTTATTTTTAAACTATACTCATGGGTGTTTTGCCTGCATGTATGTCTGTGCACTACCTTGTGTGTGTAGTGTTCACGATGCCCAAGAGGACATTAATCCCTCCTGGAACTGGAGTCCCAGACAGTGGTGAGCCATCATGTGGGTGCTGGGAATCGGAATCTGGGTCCTTTGAAGGAGAAGCCTGAGCACTTCATGGCTGAGCCATCTTCCAGCCCGTTGTTGCAGAAATTTCCAACCCCAATAAGCCCATGTAAAAACCATGCAGTTCTGTTATTATAAAATATATACTTTAGCCTAGATTGGGCAGATCTAACACTATACTAACTCACTCCTTAGTTATAAGACCTCGTGTTATTTGTGGGGTTTCTGGATTTTTTGGCCATGTGATTTTATTTTATCATGGCTATCTCTTCTTTTGTCTTTTATCCTGTTCCATAAGTTCCTGAATCCTCTGTTTTAGGTTCTGCTTCCACATTTTAATTTTTCTCTATATTATAATTCTGATATTCTGATGTCTATTTTATTTTGATTGATTAATTTTAAAAGTTCTCCTCCAGGCCTTGCTTCCAGTCCTCATTATTTTCTCTCTGCCGCTCAGTCTGATCTGTGAGATGCCACATCTCTTGTTTTGCCTCATCTGTGAAATTCTGCATCTTTTGGTCTGGCATCTTTTCCAGATCCTGCCTCCAACCTCTCTTTGTTGTTTATCCTGACCTATAAAGTCCTGTGCCTTTAGTTCTAGTGTTTCCTCTAGTCCATGTTGGCAAGTCTTAAATTTCTCTCTCTGCTGTTCATTCTGCTCTAAAAATTCCTGTATCTTCTGTTATAGGTCCTGCTGTCATATTTTTATTTTTTCTTTAGGTTATAATTTTGATATTGTAGCATCTACTTTATTTTGATTTACTAACCTTAGTAAATTATCTTTAAGGCTCTGTTTCTAAATTTTACTGTTATCTCTTTTGTCGTTTCATCTTATCTGTGAAATCCTGTATTTTTTGTTCTAGCATCTTTTCTAGCTCCTGTCTCTAAAATCATTACTTTCACCTTTTTGGAAAGACCAGACAGTCAAGCTGAAGGAAGGCAAGAGAACAAGAGTGGAAAAGAGATAGAGGCGTGGGGAAGCCTTGCAGAAGTGTGTGGATTACAAAAGAGGAAATTGTAAACCATTGTCAAGATGGAGCCCAGACAATGAGGAACCCTCCCAATGAATGGAAACTCCATGGCCAGCCTACTTCTTCCCTTAGAACCCTACCCACAAACTCTAGCCACAGTGGGGCCTGCCAGTGAATGTGCATGCCCATAAAACATGAACTGGGGAGGAAGAGCAGGTTGTAAGTTCAAGGCCAACCTGAGCTACAGCATCAAACAGGACTGAGTATCAAAAAACCAAAGGGATATGGCAGAGTGGCTAAGGCACTGGCCTCCCAAGCAGGGTGAGTGGTGCAGGTGGGAGCAGTGGTCTGCCTGCAACTCCCCTGTTGTCAAGCTCAGTTTGGCTGAAGGATCATGCTGCCTCATTGACTAAGATGGAAGAGGCACAGAGAACACTCCTCAACATACATGCACATACAAGCAAGCCTGCACACATACACACCACATATACACACATGGAAATGGAGGTGGGGCAGGCATGGTAGCAGTGCACACCTTATAATGTCAGCAGGAGGGAGACTGAGGCAGGAGAATCAGAAGTTCAAGGCCAGCCAGTATTACCTAGTAAACTGGCAGTCTGGGCTACAAGACACCCTATCTTGGAAAAAAAGAAGAAGGAGGAGGAGG